GGCTGTCGGTGGTGGTTTTTTGGCTTCCATCGTTTTTAGTGGACGCAGAGTGGAGAGGAAGTGGAGAGCTATCAAGTCGAGGAGTTGCATCAGTGGAAGGAAGGCAAGATGATAGAGATGAAGATGAAGACAAAGATGAGTGAGTAATAGAGAGGTTTCGTGTGCATTTCGGATTGTGAGGGCGATTGTTACTTCCCGGCTGCCCACACCGTGGAAGTTGGTTGCGTGACCGCAGAGCCCAGGGGACAACTGCTTGAGGCCGGTCACACGCGGCCTGTTTTTGTTCGTTCTTTTTTTTGTTTGGTGTGTCTCAGTAGCAGATTTATCACTCCCGCCCTGTGACACGGCAGCAGGAAGCGCGGTCGTTGTTAATCCGGGCCACGGCCGATCCGGCATGAAATTTTATAATTTTGTATTGGACATGATGTTGGATTGGGTAGCTGCTTTTTGTTTAACCGCTATCCAAACAACCTGCTTGGCATGGTAGAACCTCAAGAGACATAAGTCTCAGCCAGTATAGCTTGAATAGATCATTGCGGTGTTCAAGCCCGACCACCACGTCAAGGTAGCAGCTTCTGTAGCAACACTATCGATCGATATAAGTAGTGAATTTTAAGTACTTTAGTCAAGCCTAAACATCTGCCTAAAGTTACGTGATTACGTCTCCTAGTCATAGGTAAGTCTGTAGGGACCAATGACAAAAATACCTAACTTCATCATTTAAAAAATAAGAAAAGAACTTAGGCACTGCAGCTGAGTTCGATTTTACATGAGATTAAGTGTATTCAAAACCGGTGCATCACTACTATTTCACCCAAGGCGTGATGTCAATCCATCTGATTACTGGTGTTAACGTATAGTGTAAAATAATTGAATAAATTGAGCTGTAGCGATTGCAGTAAGATTTCACTTACACTGAATTATGCCAGCAATTACTTTATCAGGTCTCATTGATGAGTCAGGCCTCCATCTCGTCCTGATGACAAATTTAGTTTCACTCAGAATAAGAAACGAATGGTAAGCAGGATGTTAAATTCATTTGATGAACAATAATAACAAGAAAAGGTCTTTACGCAGTTGTCGTAACTACTTCGGCGATGTCGAATTGCTGTGACCGGGTTGACTAACGTTACCGGATATCTGCAAATAAGTAAACAAAGTGTATTTTTTAAATCGCTGAAGCAAGAAAGAAGTAATGTTAAACTTGAACGCTTTATGTTTACCCACCTTTGCTGAAAAAGATAATTCATCAAGGATCTTAAAGTATCTTAGTGATCTAAAAGTGAATAATTATTAAGATTGATATGACTTATGTTCATCAAACTGAAGTTTCTGTAGCAATTTTCAGACCTTCATTAACAACTGCCTTCGCTCAATACTCAAGATCAGATGGCCAGAAAAGATCAGAATCATGCATCTCTGGGAGCGAACCAATCAGGAACCGATTGTGAAACAAATAGGCAGGAAGAAATGGAGATGGATTGGCTGGCCATACTCTGAGGAAACCATCAAGTGACATCACTAGACAAGCCGGTGCTCGAGTAAAACCCGAGAGGGAAACGGCGAGTTGGTCGTCCAAGGGTGACTTGGAGGAGGTCATGCGAGGAGGAGATGAAAGCATGTGGACAGACCTGGAGCGGAGTGAAAAATTTGTCAGAAAACAGAAGGCAATGGAGGTGCGCAGCTGAAGCCCTATGTTCCTCTAGGAACTAAAGGATACAATAATAATAATGACTTATGTAACAGGTGTAGTAGTTGTAGGACACAGCTGCTAGCTACTATTCAATAAAAATATGGCACTAATTTTAAGTAGTCTGAAATTTTAGAAGGACCATCTATACTATTCTTCGTGACCTGATGCACACTGATATGAACATAATCTGACGCCATTTCATGCCCTGAGCAATTACGGTTTTCTGAAATTCCATGTGCAAATGTAAATTAAATTGGTATCACATCTTCTCCTAAGCGATTTTAACTAGGAACTTCATCAAAATAGATATAATCACCAGGAAATTCAGCAGCCTGCCTCATTCATCGCATGATCTCGCCGATGTGTTATGGAATATTTCAGTCATCACAGATGATAACGGAAGTGTTTAACATCCTAAAAACACACTTCTAACTTATGTCTGTAGGCTATTTCTCTTTCATATGCCCGATTCTCATAGAATAAATGGAATGACTGTAGTCTATTTAAAACCTTAAGATCTGAAACGACTCGCAAAAAACAAACCCTTAACTCTCTGAAACGCAAATAATAGTCTTTCTATGCGAAATTTCTTAAAAAGGATGACTTTTTAATAATAATCCGTCCGGGCTATAAATACAGTTTTACGCTCTACTACAAAAAAATACAGCAAAATACTGCCTTTTGGCTGCAGAAGTCTTAAACTAGTCAAATATAATCTATTTTCACAAAACTAAGCGATTATAACGCCTATAGGCGTGAACGCGGTAACCTATACACTGCGCAAAAGCAGATGGTTATAGCCTATATCCTCACCCAAGAAGTGCGTGTGACACCTTTACAGCAAGCCGCTTGATATCTTAACCCATGAATCAGATGAAGTAGTGGTGTTTCGTACGTTCACGAGACAGCTACAGTGGGAAGCATGTTCAGGCGTTCTGGGTTTTTGATAACGAATCCTGATGAAACTAGAGTGACGATACTGGTTAGTCAGATTGACAGGTGAGCAGCTAGCTATCAAGCACATAACCTGCCGTTATACCATGACATCTGAAAAATTCGAAGTGGCAGAAGTCGGTTGCTAAAATGTCCTCATCACGAATTCTTGAAGCACTGCAGTCTTTAGGAATCAGTGTAGTAGACTTTACAAGAAGTTCAGGAATAACCCTTAAAGACACAGACTCACAGTCTTCGCCCAAATCTAAATAAAACCAAACTATTATAAACAACTTGCCCAAATGCAAAATAAACCGAACGGTCCCAATTACAAATGACCAAATCCCAAACAAAACCAATCGGCTCTAAAAAGAATTATATCTATAGGTTTGTTGTTCTGTTAAACGAAATGTATCTGATTAACACGGTACAAATCTTCAAATGTGAAGTCATCCGGCATCCAAACACAGAGTACAAATTTGAACCTAAAATTCGTTTTCAGTAAAAAAATCCCAATCAAAAAAAGAACTGTACAAAGGTCCGATGCAGCACAAACTGTTTAATTGGCACAAAATACAAAATGGTATATAAAGTACAACCTCAGTGTTTAAAGGTGGAATATTATACGTCAGAGTGGATAAGCTCCATATTAAGGACAGGGGTATGAGCTCAAGGATTTTTTGAGCACAAATTGACTATTGATCAGACAAGGTGAAAGAGGGAAATGAGCGTAATGAAACGTTTTTGAATATCGTTAAATGTGTGTTCCCCACAGTTTCAATGCCAGAAACGTGTGGGTTGATTTACAACGAACCTGATGAGAAGAACTTCCCAGAGGTAGACCTCCTTAGCGTTGAACTTCGTGACGTGCAGAAAATCTCATTCTTGAAACGTACTAAGTACAAGCAGATCACGTGAAAGGTAGTTCAGGATTATGTATACATGACAGCCACGGCATCAGTCGCGTGCAAAAGCTATTCACCCGTGAACTATTCTGGAGACTGTCCCAAGTAACTTGAGTTGCACTGTAACAACAGAGGACGAGGGCCAGGCAAGAGATCGTTTATTACGGAAATCAACACATATTTATATATTTTCATGTACATTATTATAGATTATTGTAAGCAGACAAACACAGTCTTCTGATTGGTTGTTTCTCACTGAAAGTTAATCTTCCATCTCTTTGTGACTGTTTCTTTAATGTCGGATAATCTATATGCTAACTGTATCCGCCCATGCACCGTCTGCTGTGACTGGTTGTTGAATGAGTCTTTGTTCTTATTTTTCTCACGACCGAAATTGGGGGCGTAAACATTGACGTTAATTGTTGTCTACTAATTTCGCTAGGAAATAGCCCCCACCACACCACGATTTGCAGACCGAAAGCGCGCTGAGATATGCAACTTAAAACACCCACTTGACATCAGTGAATTATTTATTATAAATAAAAAGTGTGGGAAAAAGCATTCCACCTTTAGGATAACGATTAAGCGTGATGTGAATCCATACCATGCCTTTACAGTCTGTGTCCTCTCGACTGGTCACACTGAATTTATTCCAGCCTTTCGTCAAAATGACAGTAGTTTCAATGTTATGTTATGATGCTATCAGGCGACTTGAGCACACATTCAAAAATAATCGCCGATGCGGACGTGTGCCCAGAGTCACAATGCCAAATCGTAGGTCATTGAATAGGTGAGAATCACGTCACTCATGCCTTCATGTTCGCTTCTTCTCAGAAGAACGCTAAACACATGGGGACGTGAAGACACTTCTCACACCACAGACTACTGCGCATCGTTGCCTCAGAACCCGAGACGTGCTGGTGTTTGGCTGTAGGTGCCAAGGACAGTGGGTATAGGTGGCAAGGCAGGAACTATGTGACAGATTTTTGAAGGCCAATGGACAGTTCACAGAATTGAGTCGCTATACATTGCTATTACCACTATCAACCACTACAATTTTAGAAGCAGCATTTTGGGGAAAGCAGCTGTTAATGTAGTTGAAGATTGAACGATCAATTCATGGTTGATTGCTCAAACCAAACTTATCCATATTTTTTGCGGGTCATCAATCCGGCAGTTATCGTCTCATCGTTCTCTGTTCAAAGGAAGATAAAATACTACCAGAAGTATTATCATGATTTATTGTTATAACATTTGTTCTTAGACCTTGCGTAATAACATTATTGTTGGTTACATATTGGCGTAAGAATAAAGGATTCTTTGTCACCAATCAGAGTTTTGATTTTCACGTTGATTAATACAAAGCGTTTCTGAGAGTCTTCGAGGGACAGCGTGAGGTCCAGCGTAGCAAGAACTGGACATTGACGGTTTATGAGACTTGGCTGACAGCAGCATTAATCTAAAAGACAATGGTAAGACATTTGTTAATGTAAAGACGGGTGGTGGACGGAGATCATTTCCACTCGGGAAACAGAAAAAAGCACACAAAGACCACGCGACCGACGTGACACACCCAATCACGGGAGGAAAACCGCTAAGCTTGGAGCCAAGAAAATCTCGAAGACATGCGCAATTTTACGGCAATATTCCTTCACCAAGACTACTTTTAGTCAATGCAAGTAGAAGGTAGATTAACTTTGAACGAATGTCGTTAACTTTAAGAAAATATCGCAAACATGTTACATGGAATTAATCCTCAGTCCAAGCAATGAGTATTAAACTTGGTCTTGTGGATGCTAGGCAAGTTACAATGCATAATCAGGAAACTGCAGTCGTCGACTATTATGTACATAAGCTCCAAATTTACAAGCATTCACTTATGCAAAGTGTTAACACAGCAAAGTTTAATACTTAAAATACCATAAGATGGACGAACCTATTTTACATTATGAAGGACAACACTTCCGCATTTTGCAGCCCAGACGTTCCATCGGAGTACTACATTAGTTCTGCTTAGTGTATGCGGAGATTTTACCACAAATCTATCTAGGTTGGATGTGATAAAATGTACTGAAACACTGACATTAATTATACAGCATCAGCGAAAATGGTATACAAATAGTAGATAGACTGCAGTAAAGCCTATAAGATTAAGTCTACAGAACTAATAAAGTTAGTGTGCATCCTAAATGCATATATTGGATTATTGCACTGAATACTATATTACTGCAAATCAGACGAATAATTATTATTTCTACTTCGCTTTACTTGCAAAAATCATGACAATGACCTGTATTTGTGTCGGTGGCATAGCAGTTAGGACTCTCGCCGACCATGCACATGGTCCTGGGTTCGATCCCCGGCCGACGCACATCTGATATCAATGGTTGGCCGGCAAATTTGGGCTACCGATATCGCATGCTGAAAATCCCATACTTGTACTCAATATACGGTGTAGAATCAAGCTGTAGCCAAAAAATTATTTGTTATTCCACTTATCAGAATAAAAGAAAATGGTACAAAATTAACACAGTTTAGCGAATGATTTGTACATTGAATCTAAGCAGATTGCATAACACCACTCATTGCAAATATTCATTCAATCCAACCATCGATAACCTTTCAACTTATGATAATTTCTACCCACACATACATAATTTATCATGGCTCAATTTCACACCATATTCTTGGCACGAATATGGAATTTTCAGCATGTGATATCGGTAGCCCAAGTTCGAAGGCCGACCATTGATACCAGCTGTTCGTCGACAGGAGATCGACCCCTGGACCGTGTGTATGTACGGTGGGCTAGAGTCTTAACTTCCATGCCACCGACGCACAATAACACTCTGTGCGAATACAGAGCTAAAAAATGCGATAAGATTCTTTGTATTGTGCCTCCCCACGGAAATCTATAGCCAAAGGCAAAAGATTTATCCGCGAATGGGGAGACACCAGAGTTATCAAGTGAAATGACGAATATATATCATCACCTATGTCCTCATGGAGATTCTGCTAACAGATGTGCACGATTTACATGCACTGATAGCATCTGATTTTCAAACAGTGCTCTTATTTACATAGAAAATAGATGCAGTAAAGATATGGGACGTGTGAAGTCTTAACAAAATGATACAATGCAATAAACAGCCGTGTTGACACAAGGCAGACTATTCGAGTAGATGACATTACCCTCCGATTATTTTACACAGCTCATTATAGTAATATCACTCACAATCCACCTGAGACACAAAGACTTGCAACCATTTAGCTTGGAGTGTATCGCAGTCAGATAACATTTTTCATTTTTTTTTTCATTTTTGATTATAGCTTGATTCCACACTGTATTTTTGGTACATGTATGGAATTTTCAGCGTGGATATCGGTAGCCCAGAATTCGCAGGCCGACCATAGATATCAGGTGTGCGTCGGCGTGGGCTCGAACCTAGGACCATGTGCATGGTCGGCGAGAGTCCTAACCACTGTGCCACCGACGCACATGACGCGCACGCAAATATCTAAAATTCGGAATTTCCATGAATTCAGGTAGCATATACAATTTTATCGGCAACTAATAGCTAAACGATATTTACTAAGTGTAATTACATCCAATATGCCAATTGTGTTCAACCTCAACATATAGCAATAAACCAATAGGAGTCGCGCCAGCTATAAACAACTGAGATCTGCCTGTAGTCATGTTCCATATGTAACAGTAAGTTCAGTATATAGGTTTTCCTGCTGATCTTTTTTTGTATCACGGATGGATTCCAGGGGATTTAGTCTTCCCGATAAAAGTTTTTAAGTGTTATTGTCTCTTAGACTGGCAAAATTGACTTCGAAACAATCTCTTCGTAGTTATTTTCATTGGCTTAAAAACTACTTTTCTATTAACAATTTACTCAAGTAAACCTTCACACCCCATTCTGTCCAAAAAATATAAATTACTGGTCACTTTTGTATTTCAGGATAATTGTTCTGAAGTACTGGTACTTGTCAGGTGGCAATAATTATTTACTTAATTAAAAACTGTGTTTCTACTCTCTAGGTGTATTAGTTCTGATTATGTGATTTAATTGACTTTCGGATAATTATTGTAGCTGCAATTAAACACCCGATTTCTCAACATTGGTGATGCGGAAATAAGAATTCCTGTGTTATAAATGCAAATGTTATGGAGTTGATGAAGTGTTCTCGCGTACAGGCTGCAGCTGCTATATTTGGCAAGGAACAAGTGCATTTTGTTTGCAGAATGATGAGAAAGTCTTTAGCGTTGAAATGCCCATATATATTTGACAGTTAGTCATAAATATTTGTATATCGTTCTTTGTCATTTAGATATTTGGTTTTTTTGTTGATTGAGGATAGAAGGCTTGAAGCCTATGTCGATCCTTTTCTGGTGAATCTCTGTGCTTGTCCAAATTCTCGAATAAGTCAATTAAAGTCTCTGACACTTTTTTCTGGAAGTAGGTTCCGGCAGTTGATCAGTCGGTGTAAGAAACAATACTCTACAGCAATATAGTTTCTCATTGGCTTTCGAACTCTCCCGTTGGTACCTTTAGTGTCTTGCGCTGGTGGAAAGGTAATGAAAGAATAGGCCAGATCCGTAGTGTTTATTTAAAATTTTAAACATTGTAATGGGATTTTTCTGTTTACGGTATAACAGAAAGAAGAGATTTAAACTACTTAGTCTCTCCTTGTATAATAAGTTAGTTCTTTCAAAAATCTTACGTGTTGGCTTCTTTTGAACCCTTCCTAGAACACGTAGGTCCCCTTTGAAACAGGCACTACCTGTCTGGTTACAGTTCTTCAGCTTTGACTTCACCAGAGATGTATGTAAAAAGGTGAGCGTATCTCTGGTAATTCTAGTAGAGGCTCTGCGAAATGCCCATAAATATTAGGGTTTGAATACAACTGCTCAAGTTGTTTGTGTCTGCCTATGTACTCAGTGTCAAGCAGTGTAAATGAACTGATCGTCTTCGATTGTTGGCATATGCGTTCTATCTGTTGTGTTACTAGGTTTAATATAATCAGCAATTCTAAGGTTAATTAAGAGGGGCGAGTCAGCTAATGATGTTGTGCACTTACAGCGATTGAGAACACCGGGATACATGCTATGTTTGTCAAGTTACTGCCTTACTCGTAAAATAATGTTAGGTGATATAAGCTATTTTTGAAAGGTTTAGGGGTGGTCAAGCAAAACATGATTTCAATCTGTGAAGTCTTTAACTGTGAGTTTGAGTCACGTGGGTGGATGCATACTATCTGGTTGGGGTCCTCGAGGAGCTGGAAACCAGTGGCTGGAGACAGGTGGTAACATGGCTCATAGTTGTCCTCAACGGTACAGATGCATTCACATTTGTTTTTTCCTCTAGGTACATTAAACTCTCATTATTATCCATGTCAGTATTTTTTCTCTTGTAAACCTCTGTATACTATGGGCTTTTTGGATTGGTACTTTCTCTAGCTTAGCTCGTGCCTTTATGAATTACAACTTGATATGCTTCACTTTTGTGCAAAGTTCCTCATTGAAAATATAGTTCAGTTAAGAACATATGACATATTAGCAACCTTTTTCTTATTCTTCCATTTGCACTAACGCGCCAAAATATTATCTCAGTCAGTAGTATTAGTGGTCATATGCATGTATGGGCTAATTAGATGACATTTACCCAATATATAAATTTCTGACTGCTCACAAGTGGTTTGTCACATCAGGAACTACCATATAGTCTCTTATTTTATAACCACATGGTTCATTTCTTTATGCAACGTAGATCTGCAAAGGAGTATATTAATTTATCTCAATAGTTCCGTGACAGCATATATTTTTTTTGATTTACAGCTTGATTCCACACTGTATTTTTGGTACAAGTATTGAATTTTCAGCATGGATATCGGTAGCCCAAATTTTGCAGGCCAACCATAGATATCAGGTGTGCGTCGGTGAGGTTTCGAACCTCGAACCATGTGCATGCTCGGCAGGAGTCCTAACCACTGTGCCACCGACTCAGAATGTAACGGAAACATAGACTAAAATCCGTTGTTCCTCGTCGCCGAAAACTAGGGTTGTCAGATAGAAGTGAATAGAAACAAATTTTTAGTATGTAGAAAAAAGAATGGAGTAATGAATAACAGCTTATGATTTTAAAATATCATTAGTGACATACACTAAACACATCTACCTGATTATGGACCGTGCCACCGTGATACCATTTCTGTGTAGTGTTAAGGTTGGATATCATCCTAATGAAATATTTACATCTAGTGTTTTGAAGTCATTGGTGGGGAAGTGAGTCACTTTCAGCTGAACAGTTGCACTTAAAAGTCGTATAAACTCAAAGGACCCTTTTTCTTGACAAGGAAGTATCGATCAAATCTTTACTTTTCGACCAGTTGTTCAACTTAGGCATTCATGCACTAGAAAACCCATCCAATGGTAGTTTATCATGGATAGAACTGACTATTACCTAAAGTTTTGAATCGTAGAGATTCGGTTGATTTTAAGTTAGACCACTAACTGACATCATTTAGAGAACCACTGCTTAACACGGGAGTACTAGACATCTGTGTCGTCCAGTGATCCAGTTTAAGGTCAGTTAATTCCCTGCCAACCAACACTTGGAAATCGATCTGTCGCCTAATAGTGACTGATTAGGTGGAGATCTAGTCAAAACTTGTAATCAGTGGAGTCTACCAAGTCAGGTATAAGGACAGATACTCACAGATAACGCTGGTTAGTAGTGGTACTATATGCAAAGAGTTAGCAGAAGTTATAACTCATGAGTTACTTGGTTAAGTCCCAGTAGTTGAATCATCGATGGACTCACCCTGTCGTCGATACCAGCTGGAGCCATGGGTGCATAGTGCTGAAGAGTTTCAAACTAGGACTAAACAGGCGTCCGTTGGTGGTTACCTGAAGGTTAGTTATCGTATAATGTTGATGGTAGGCGTATGAACTTATTATCATTATTACTACATATAGAATCACAAATCGCCTGAAACCTGCTTCTCACGAGCTTGCCCTACCACCTATGATGTAATACCCCTTGTAGTTGTCACAAGACTTCGCCTTTTTTCTGACAGAATTGTGCATGAAAAGTCCGTTCCGGGCAACAGAGTTGTAACTAACTTAAGATAAGATAAAAGCTTTATTCCAAATCAGTACTTGTGATACAGAATGGAATTCTCAGCATTTTTACTACAATATTGCATTCAGTTAGTACATTAACAATAAATAAAGTTCTACATAGATTAAAGTTATCTTCAGTCAGTTTTGACAACAGCATATCGGTAGCAAAGCCAAAATTTAAACAGTGTTTGAAGGTGTTAGAAAAGTAGATACTACTAGCATATTTACTGGCGTAAGCGATAGCAAAATGGTCGAGATAAACAGAGTGTGAAAGAACGAACAAGAATGTTTTAAGTAGAGTTTGTAAGGAAGAGAGAAACAAAACAGCACATAATAAAAATAAATACAGAATGAAAAAAAAGTAGAGAGAAAACGTTGTACTTATAAATGATATGAGTTAGAAAGACGAGATCCATTTGTTCTACTGACTATTTAATAATTTAAAGGTTTCACGCCTAATGCTTTCTTTATCGCACAGAACACGAGCTAGGTAGGGTATGGATCAGATTTTGTACTTGCTAGTGCGAGCATATAGTTTCCTACATAGGCTTCTGGTTTTCTCTGAAGAGATACATGGGGAGAGTTGTAAATGTAGAGGGTGTTGTGAGTCAGATAAAATGGATTTCGCCCATTTTTCACATGAGTCCATATGCCTGTCCACCAGAATATTAACAAGCTGGATAAGTGGCAAACTGCTTACCCTGCTGACAACCTTTAACATCCTGCGTAATAAGGTATAGTCTTTCTTCAATAGCCCAAGAAAGACTAAGGGGAACAATAGAGAATAATAGGCAGAATACGTGAGTTAAAAAATTGTAGGAGTAAGGGTTGGGTTATACCAGAATGTCTTAACTTCTTGATGTAGGAGGTAAGATGGAATATTTTCTTAGAAATCGTCAAGATATGAGACGACCAGGAAAGATCAGAAGATAGAGTGACGCCTAGGTATTTAATATCCGACTTGGTTTCTATTTCAGTGCCATCTATGTTGCACACCTCGTGAGTGCTAACCAGTTTGTTTAGGTCAGATTTATGCCTAAAGGTGAAATTAACTGTTTGGCATTTGGAGGGGTTTAAGGTGAGACTGTTTTCTTTGGACCATTGGCTGATTTCTGATAAGAAGCAATTTAGTTTAGAGCAGTCACTTTGACATTTAACCGGTAAAGATACAGTTAGGTCATCAGCATATTTGACAAAGTTAGTGTCATTTGAAGATGTTAGGTCATATAGAAAGAAAGAAAAGAGAAGTGGGGAGAGTACAGCACCTTGGGGGACACCACCTTCAGTGAGCACAGCAGAGGAGGATTCGCCTTTGTATACGGTGTACTGTACTGAAAAGTAGGAATGCAACTAGTTAGTGACCCAGGACTCAGTTTGTGTCATGGAGAGCTTATTTAGCAAGAGACATCTAGGTACATAGCCGAAAGCAGAAGTGAAGTCAAGAAACGTGCAGCGGACATATTTGCACCTTTGTCTAATGATGAGACAATACTGTTGTGTAAGACAGCTGCAGCGTCTAAAGTACTCCTACCCTGTCTGTAGGCAAATTGTTTGGGGTCTTCGAAGCTTTTGAGAGAGGGTTT